GAGCTGAGGCATTCACGGTTGATCACAAGAGTGTTTTGGATAAGGGAATTGAACGAGAACCTCACTACTGCAAATTTTTTCGCTAACCACAGTGCCGACTTTCCTCCTTCTTCCCTGGTCTCATTCTATAGAGAACAGAGATTACTTCGAAGAATAATTCTCTGTGATTGAATCGACTGTTTTTAAAACTCGTTATAAACATTCAAAATCAAATCCAAAAAAAGAAGAATGGTTTTAGCCTAAAACGAGGTTGGTACGCCAGGGCCATACACCGGTGTTTCGGAGGCTCGTCCTCCTCGTCAGTGACCCCCGCCCCACATTAAGCCCTGCATTGTAGCAAGGAGGGAGGCGTATGTGATAAAGGTGATGGCATAGTATACTATGACACTGGTCCATCACCATCAGTCGATGTTTCGGCTGGTAGACCAAAACTAATCCATTGAATCGACTGTTTTTAAAACCTCGTTATAAACATTCAAAATCAAATCCAAAAAAAAGAAGAATGGTTTTAGCCTAAATGGGGGCGGGGGTCACTGACGAGGAGGACGAGCCTCCGAAACACCAGTGTATGGCCCTGGCGTACCAACCTCGTTTTAGGCTAAAACCATTCTTCTTTTTTTTGGATTTGATTTTGAATGTTTATAACGAGGTTTTAAAAACAGTCGATTCAATGGATTAGTTTTGGTCTACCAGCCGAAACATCGACTGATGGTGATGGACCAGTGTCATAGTATACTATGCCATCACCACTTACCACATACGCCTCCCTCCTTGCTATAATGCAGGGCTTAATGTGGGGCGGGGGTCACTGACGAGGAGGACGAGCCTCCGAAACACCGGTGTACGGCCCTGGCGTACCAGCCTCGTTTTAGGCTAAAACCATTCTTCTTTTTTTTTTTTGGAATTCTCTGTCACACATATCATGGCTGTAGTACAATAGATCTGGAATGGCAACTCCGTCTATCATAGTGAATTCTGCGTTATTAGAGAACGGAAAATAAGAAAAACTGCACCTGTTATAAGAAATATTGTACCTTCAAAGAAATTGCTTATGCACGAAGCGTTAGTTCGATCTTGGTGCTATTTGTCAAACTATGCACATTAAGGCACAAATCCGATCAGTCTGGTGATCTACTAATGGAAAGGATTCATTTTCTTTGAGTTCTCAAGACAATCATTCTGATGTGACCATTCTAGACAGTTACATTGCTTTTCAATGAAAAATCGTACCGGGATAGCGGTGATTCGTGACACCCGTTTTTCTTAAGAAAAAATTATCGAACCTTGACGACGTTCATAACTGTGGAAAGATCTAAAGAATAGCAGCTGTCTATTCTCTTTATGCAACATTGCTCCAGCATTGGAGTAATCGATGTGAGAGTTGAGATTAGTTGAACTGTAAAAATCCGGTTATAAGACGAGCTTCACGCAGCACATCATGAAAATTCTCAGCAATCCCCTCTGTTTAATTTTCCACATTAACTATATTGCATCAATTGTTATTTGTTGAGCAGAACGTTAACTGAATGCTAAGTTCCTCCTTAATCTGAAAAGTGGCAGACTAGTGAACCACTATAAGATTAGAACAATGTCGTTTAGGCCAAGGACGTCATATCTGCTAATTCGCTTTTTCTATAGCTCCACCGATCCACCTGGTGACCATCTCAGGAAAACCACTGTATTTTCGACTGTAATCAAAGTTTCTTTCGCAATTCTCAATGGAGTTGTGAGTTTTTTTTTGCGGCAATGGCTATAGATAGCATTAAATTGCGTGCCATTTTGACAAGAAGCTGGAAAGTCCCTATAACTCAACGTTATTCTTATTATTATAAATATTACTCATCAGTTGTCATTTTATCACTGTTATTGATCTTCCTTCAATATTGCTATTGAGACTAAACTGTCATCAGTAACTGTGAAGAAGGAGGTAATAGCACAATTTTTAGTGTCTCGAAGAAACGGCTTCTAATTCGAGTACACTCTGGTCGAAGTAAATCGCTCCAGTGAGGGTGGCTAATTAATCTTTGACTTGTCTGGAAAAAGGTCACGCTCTTTAGTTCTGTTATCCCATAATTCAAGACATATTGTATCAGAATTCAGCGGTATCCATGATGACGACAACATTTCCAAGTTTAATTTGAATTTATAGAGAATATCAAGAAATCTTCCCTAATGATAGCCATCAAGGTAGCGACTTAGCTCAAAGAAAAAGAAATGAAAACTGTACAGTGTCTACATACGGGTATAAGATGGAAAAAAACGTGTAGAAAATTTTGGAAACACTCACGTTGGTCTTAGAAGGTAACTATCAAAAACGTTCTGCAACGAAGTGCTTATCTTTGTTTACAATAAAAATGGAAGCTGCAAGAATGACGAATGCAACACCATCCATTGACGACGGTCATTCCAAGACGTTCACTGAAGTAGAACAAGGAAAGCCAAGAAGACTCAGGAAATGCTTGATAAGTGACCGGCGTCTCAAGTAAACAGATGGAAAAAACTGTCGCCGTGCTGCATTGTTTAGTGCTTGTTTTGAGCGATGAAAATGGACCTAGTGGAAATGAAACTGCGCAAAATTCGCTTTCCGTTAATCAGTTCACTCTGCAACAATGGACGTAATTGGTCCAACATGTAACTTTATCAACATTGTGGAAGTAGGAGAGATTCATTAGTGTCTTTTGCTTAGCGCTGATGACATCCTCCTGACATATTCGGAAGAGGTGACACTTTGTCGTACACGTACATTTACACTAGGGAAACAAAGTTTCAAATATTTTTCATTGAGAGGATTCTTTGTGTAATTATATAGATAGTGGAACTGACTGTTCTGATAGCCTTTATAAAATAAGAATTTTGATGTTATATCAAAAACTTCAAAGGTGGTGGCTATCTAAAGATCTAACTCACATAGTGGCTGACGATAAGATGAAACCGAATAGCTCAATTCACTGTTTAATAAGCTCTTCTTGCGTCTGCCAAGCAACATAAAATTCGTGTGGCTATTAGGTTGCGCCAAGTGAGCACAAACAGGTGCATGTTGCTGTGTCGGCAGCCCCGGCGCATTCCTGCATAGTCATACCGAACGCTTACCTAAAGGCTTCACATCACGTTGGCGGTGAAGCGCCAAGTCTTCAGACACTACTCTGTGGCTTGTTTACTTTTAAACCTACTTCTTGGAAGTAAAATTGTGGATGATTACAATTTGTTGTTGACTAACTAGCAAGCAGAGGAAAGACTTCAAAGTAGAATAAAGTGGTGATTTCTTGTTGGAGAACGCCACAAATATGAGAAACCATTTGATTTATGAGTTTCTTCTTCCAAAGTAGACTGCTAGTGATCGTTTCTACACTGGGCCTCATTGCTTTAGAATCGTTGTTAGAGCCGCAGCTGAAAAGTTATATTCAGATAGTGATGGTTCGAACAAGTTGACTGTGCTTGCAACGGTTGAAGATCGTCAAGCAGCTTATGAGCAGAAGCTTAGCAATTGAACTACACCATGTACAGCAGCGAACTCAACTCTGCAAATGACATTTCCACTCTGAAGCTCCTTATTGAGACCTTTTGGTCGGTGATCCGTTAAGAATGTTTGACTAAGTACGATTACGAGAACGTAAGTCATGTGTATGAACGAGTGCGGACTATCGACTCAGACCATGGTCTATTGAAAAAGAAGAAGACATCAAAACGTTAGCCGAATAAAAATTATGTGGCAACCTCATACTAGCTGTGAAAATCAAAGAAATGTATTAACTTTGTGAATAATTAACATTATCACCTTTCAGATTTCTGAATGTTTCTTTGAATAAATATTTTTAACTAGTTACAAATATATTTACTACAGTTATAAACTAAAGGTAAGTAGTGTAGCAAGTGCTGTTAATGAGTTAATCTACTTTTGTGGCATGATTTTACGCTCATTACAATTTGAATATAAGAATTTATGTTTCTAAACAGAGTGTATCCACATCACAGGTTCTCAGTTCTTTTATTCATAATCTTTCACACATTCAATGAGAAATTCGAGAGACTCATCGTTTGTGAAGAATTTATTTCTCAAGCAACAAAATGCAATCTAACCGTTTCCATGCAATGTTCATAAATATTGGAATTCGTAAATTTTGTGATTTGAAACACTCCACACTTGTACTTTTGATTTTGACAAATTGCGACTTGAAAGTTCCTTGGTGGAACTTTACGAGGATACATGTAAGAGCGGAATTTAGAGTTATCTGTCCACTGAGATCATACTGAACATATATGAATTTGGAAGCTGCTTAACAATGGAATATCCTTTCTTCAACCTCGGCTGAACCACTTGTTTCGTAAATCCCTTTCTTTTCTTCAAGTGCTGATCAAACAAATTCTCATGTGAACCAGCCAGCGGGACACTCATATCGTAATCATTGATCTACAAATTCCCTAATCTAATGAATCTCCCATCAACAGGGGCATCATAAAACTCACTTAATCTTTAATGATCAAGTTTTTCCTACCGATATGCACCGCGGTCCCGCATATGTAGCTGAATTTTTTTAGAATGCAGATATGTAAATATCTCGATTCCAAATTTTGGCTCCATATGCGACACTTAGCAGTGAATTAGGTTTCGTTGCGTTTTATGAGTCATACACAATACATTCTATCGACATGAACATCAAAGGGACTGGCGGAACCTGTGTTGTTCACCTTAAGTTCAAGATTCGGTCAATAGAAGGTGAGATTACAGATTCCAAATCTGTCTTTGGATTTAGCTTCAATAACACTGGGGACATTTCTTAAAGTTTGCACGAACATTATAATCTCTCAACAAAGAAAATTAAATAGTATCTATCTGAATACTAAGATTAACGATTTATGTCATCTCTTGAACAGCGTTCAATTGAAACAATTGGTTATCTAAGGAAATCTTCATTCGTGATTTTCATTGTTTGAACTGCATTTTTCGCAGTATTTAGATGTTTCTTATACACCTAAGAGAATTGAGTGGTGAGCAAAAATATGACCTCGGACGGGGATCGAACCCGCTTTCCATCCGTAGCGGGGATGTGTGCTACCACTACACCACCCATGTGCATTTGTGCCACCACTCATTCTTCACTATCTCTATGTTAGCTATCAGCCACCAAACCTTAATAGCCACCTGCAAAAAATGTAGTCAAAAACACTAGAAATTATAAGTATTACATATCACAATGGCTGTGAGCTCAACTGGGTTTATGAAGCGAAATCGTAAACCCAATCAAGCCTGTTAAACGTCGGTGGCTGATAGCTAACATATGTTGAAAAATGAGTGGTGGAGCAAATGTACCTCGGTGGTTAGTGGTAGCACGCGTCCCCGGTGTGGATAGAAACGCGCGTTCAACTCCCGTTTGAGGCCGTATTTTTGCTCATTACTCAATCCTCTTAGGAATCTTTATTTTCACTGTTTTTTGCAGTGATATGTGCGGCAACTAAACCTCCAAGATTGTCGAATTATAAGTAAAACAATTCACATCAGGCGAGAGTTGAACTTACCTTCACTTTTCGGAGACGCGCCTTACCACTCACCGCTAATGCCACCCCTCTGTTACTACTCTCTTTTTCGGTGTAATCTAATGAGGCTGTCAGCAACCAATCTCTAAAGGGTTTTATTAGATGAGCCAAATCGGCTTTGAACCTTTTCCCACTGACAGCTATTGGATACGTATAATCTGAAGGATTCTTTATTTTTACTGTTTCGACAATGGGAGGTTGTTACAACGCAGTAAAAAAATTCTTTAGATCATACCTATATAATGGCTGTGAGCGTAACTGGGTTCGACATCGATATGTTCTTACCAGACCAATCCATCAAAGGTCAATTGCTGACAGCTACGTCAGTTTATATCAAAGAAAGAGCGAAGGCATCGGTAGTGATGCGTATCACGCACACCTTGTACGGATGAAACGTGAGTTTAACTGCCGCCTAATGTCAAATACTTTTGCACATCCCTCAGCAGCCCTAGATAAATACTTGTAGCAAATGGTTTTCCTCTTTGTCGTATTCGCCCACTATTTCATAAGAATTACATTATTGATTGGCTACGAAATGCTCGATTGGCTATCCTACAAGATAGCTTTCGTTTTAAGTGGTTTCTTAAGACCACGGTCAGCTTTCAATATGCCTGATCATCCTTTTTTGAGCCATGCATGTATCTGTTATAGGGCAACTTATGGAGCCCGACACACGTGTTTCGACCTTGACAGCCTCGTAAGTCGGGCATTACCCTTAGTCTTTAGCCAATTCTCTCGGGAAAACTCAATCCCTATATAGAGTTGGCGACGACGAACCTTTGCATGGCTAAAAAATGTCTATCAGGCATATTGAAAGTTTAGCGTGGTCTTAAGAAAGAACTCGAAACCAAAGGTATGATATATTTAACCATACCAGCTAAGGGTAATCTAGTGAAAGGCACGGCATTTAGTGATCTTTTCACTTAAAAGCACGTGTAAAATATTCGTCGTCGCCAACCTTTATATAGGGCTAGGTTACTCGGAGAGGATTGGCTAAAGACGAAGAGTACTGGCAGGCTGACTGGGCTATCAAGGCCGAAACACGCGAGTTGCCCTATAACAGAGCACATAAATGGCTCAAAAAGTGATTATCAGGTATATTGTAGTTTAAGAGTTAAGTGTTGGAAGATACTACGCAATTTAACACTTACCATTGATCCCGTAATCGTCATCTAAATCATCATCTCTCGATTCATTTTTCTTTAGCCTGTTATTATACTCCCAGCTCTCGATGTTGATCAATCTCTGAGGGAGCACCATGCATTCAACTCCATTAGCAGCCAGTAAAGGCGACGGAATGCATATGTGGTTTCTACATTGACCCGCAATGAACTACCGATTTATAAAATTAGCGTTGCTTTCGTCCCTTTTTCCTCTATAGACGACACATATGTCTGAACCAAAAACATACGAGTGAGTAGAGAAAATCGTGTTGTATCAAAGGTATACAGGAATTTCAAAAATTTTTACAAAACGGCGAGAAAAATGTTTTTAGCGTGGAAGAAAGCACTGATCTACAACGCATTGATACTAATTTTGGCATTCAGTTTATTGTACCGAATTGTACAAAGAATGTCTCAATGAAAATTTTAAGTTTTGATCTCTCCTTTTTTCTATAATACGCAGGAGTCACTACCGTGAAGGAAAATAGGAAAAAATGGGTAATTTGTAAAAAAGGATGGTGCATGCTACATACGATACTAGTTCATCGATAACTCTCAATAATTTTGGGTCATTAGTGTAATTCAGATGCTTAAATCTATATAGAATTATAGAACAGACTTTCTTCGATCGCTTCATGGGTCTACGGCTTTTATACACTGGCTTCTGATTTATTATGACATTATTCGCAGTTGCAAACTCTGCCATTGCACTTGCCTACCCATCTTGCGTATTCTACCTACTTCAGTTGATTGACCTCAAAACAATTCCTTTCCCTCTGTCAACTTCCAACCTCTCAAAATTCAATTTGACCACGTGCAGGTGCTTGTGGCCATCCAGCAGTGCTTTTAATGAGTACCTTCTTTCATATATTTCGTTTCGAGTGTTTTCTCAAGACCACAGTTTAAATTTTCAATATGCCTGATAATCATTTTTTGAGCCACGTATGTCAGTGGCCTATCAAAGAGGGCTGACATATAGAGTCCGATACACGTGTTTCAATCTTGCGATCTCGTCATTCGCGCAGTTACTCTTTCTCGTCTTTTGCCAATCCTGTGTAGGTGCTCCAGTCCCACACTAAGAGTTAGCGACTACTAACGTTTTACACTCTATGTCCAGTGAAATTCTGACCGAACATAGAGCGTTGTACACTCGATTGCTCTTGGCTAGTATATTCAATATATCATATCTTTCGCTTTGAGCCAACTGACGAAGTCGCAGGATTGAAACACGTTTATCGGGCTCTATAAGTCAGCCCTCTTTGATAGACCAGTACATGCGTGGCTCAAAAAATGATTATCAAGCATACCTTCTTTCACTTTCACCGTTTGGATTCACAGACGTCGTTGGTCTTCACAAAATATTGTAGTTCTTATATGCAAAAAAAAAATCGAATACCTTTTTGTTACGGAAGACTTTGCCCGAAAAGCAGCAGGTGCTTTCAAAATAACTGGTGAGTCCTGCATAGTTCCCGTTTCTTCATTGTTGTCTTTCGCATCTTCTGCCTTCGGAAGTGGTCGATTGAGGAAATTGCGAGAGAATTTGGTCTACTCAAATATCGCAGAAGAAAAAGGTTCGAAATTACAACCAATATTGCACTGTTTTATACACAATCATGTATAAAGGACACTGATGAAGTGATAATTGTTAAGTGCTTAAAGAAGCTGCCCAGAATCCTGTCCTACTCGTGATGACGATAGATAGTGTTCAAGGAAACATGAGGCTTAGGTATAAAAAATTGTCGACTTCTACGATTGTACATACCCGATATTTGGGAAATGAATATGGAACAGACACATCTATGGCCATTGGACGAACGATCGGTAGGAAAAGACGGTCTCATTCTGACAAGATAGACGAAAAAAAAAAGCGCAATAGGTATTGGAAATATCCCCATTTGAAAGAGGGTCGTTTTCGTATCCGAATCCACAGATTGCTAGGACGCATGAAACATCTTACTAGAGATACCCAAAGAAATCTTTTTGGAAACATGCTATTTTTGTGACGATAAAGTGCTCCGACCATCTTCAGTTCGCTATATAATTGCCAAAAAAGTCCGCCGTAAAGTTCGTACAACGGGATGACTACCTCGAAAGCTAACTGTATTCTCCTTTCCGTTGGTGTTGCATACTAAGATGGTCTTCCTGTGAGTAGAAATCTATAGCATCACTAAAAGGTTATGATAATTTTGGTAAACAAGATGCACTTTTGGTAAAAAGTATTTCACGAAATGATGATTGCGAACTTTATCAAGGCTCACCACCGGCCAGATACTAGAAAATTCCTTGTATAACCTTTTTTTAAGAGTGAAACATCATAGAAAATGTTCTTGCCAATTATACTTTCACGATATGGTCAAAAGAAATGTAAAGAAAAATGGATGCGTCGTTATCCCATAGACGTAACTTTTGCACCGAAAAGTAGAGAGATAAGTGGACAATCTTTTTACTTGAATCACATTTTTGAAGTCCTTCCGATAATAATTTGTGGCACTTTTCCATTATCTGAGCGACATTTCGGCCCTTCAGAGAGAGCCTATTTTGCGCTTGTTTTTGATGACTAAATAATTATTCGATAGCTAATTCAAAAGAATTTGGACGGTGTATTTCATCTTCAAAAATGTCCTGTTATGTGCTGAAAGAGCAAAAATAATATTTTCTTTCCCACTCAAAGATTTCTCACTGACCAAAGCTTTTCTCTCGGAGTTTTAATAACCAGTCGATAGATCTCCCCATTATTATTTAAGCCAGCACGTCATGTTGTTAGGTAATGAGCTCTTGTACAGCCCGATACACGTGTTTCGACCTTACAGTCTCGTCAGTCGGGCAGAACCCGTCGTCTTTCGATCTCTTGGCTCATAAATAGATTAGAAGACGGCGGGTATGTCCGAGTGACGAGACTGTAAGGCCGAAACACGTGTATCGAGCTGTATAAGAGCCTACCAGAAACATAACATGTTGGCAGACAACGCGTTATAGCGTTGAAAGAGTGTTGTGCAAAACGAGCGTCGGTGGTGCAACGGTTAGCATACGCTCCCGGAAAGAGTGAGATCTGGATTTGGATCCCGGCTGACGCAAACGTTTTTGCACAGCATTCCTAATTATTTGGTATAATGAAGAGACCTATTGATATTTGAGCGTGGTCTTGACAAAACACTCGAAATAATGGTATAATCAATCGATACATTAAATCTTAGGGATTCCAATAATCTACTTGGTTTATAAAATAAACCACGCATTGCGCTGTAGCGGCCAAAAGAAAATTTGGAATTCGCAAACATGGATCATTCTTTTATCTGCTCCTCACTTTGATGCCTTGGAAAAAAAAGTATTTTTGGTCGTTTTAAAAGTTCAAATAGCTACACGATAGTTCAGATCG